TGTCAACAAAAGATGGACGTTCAGGAAGGTTAGAGTCTGTTTCCTTCGCGTAATATGCAAATTATCCCTCATTCAGTACTCAGATGGTTATGGATTCCTTCGGGGTTATCCAATTAAGAAGTGTGGAAGGCTTGGAAAAGATAAAGAGTAATAAAAAAGGAATTGAGAGAGAGTAATAAGGGGCTGATGCCGATGCGGTGTCGGGTTTGGAGGACTCGAGTTTGTTTATTTTTGGTTTATTTTTGGTTTATTTTGTTATTTCATCATGTTGGGCCAAATACACTTCCTCGTACTAGTGGAATTCTTTTTATGAACTAACAGTCTGTTAGGGAGACGAATATCTTAGTCTTGTAAGAGTCAAAATTTAGGTAAATAATCCTATTGGTCCAGTCGTGTTTTTCGGACATAATTTTTTTCGTATTTTTTTCCATTTCCGTTATTCGTTTCGGGAAGTTTTCTGACATCCGTTTCCGTCAGCAAATCGATTGCTAGTGTGAAAGGCCACTCAAACATTCAGACTGATCTTTATAAAAAAAAATTACATATTGGAAGAGTGGGTGTTTCAAGGAAAGGAAATTTTGCTCTGAGTGTACTACAGTGGACTACACCGGTGAGGGAAATATGTTTTGGGTGGGATTTTGTTCTTTTGTTGCCATCGTTGTGGTAGTTTTTGTGTTTAGATTGTAGTCATTATTTGTTCATTCAGGAGGTGTCTTCTTAACCATTTTTTTTCTTTTTCCTTCATAATTATTCTCTTGTCCCTGCACTCGTGGTGGACAGATGGAGAACTGAGGGTTCTTCAAGCCAAACTTTACGATTTCAAAATGTCCCGAACTAAAAAGGGAAAACCCTTTTCTAACTCCTACATTTCCCTAGCAGGGGGCTCTGCTCTAGGACCTCTTCCTTATTGTTATACTTCTTTTGCCATGGTCTCTGCCTCAGGATCCCCTTTCAATCCAGACATTTCTTTACAGCACAGACACACTCACCAGACACTGTCCACAGTTCTCCTTCACAAAATTTATTCAGTAATTTACATTGTCAGGCTTCAGGCCCTAGCGACCCTAGCAGCTTTTTTGTTAATTCTTGTGTTTCCAAGTGGATTTAAGATGTTTCACATTTCCCAGAAGGAGACGATAGTGACTGTGTTTGTTTACTTATAGATTATTTTTACTGTTTAAATATAATTTATTAACACTGTGTTTCTCTTTCAATATGATATATATGAGCATGCTCGTGGGATTTCTGGGACCTAACTTGCTTGGTTACATGGGTCCTGCTTGTGTGGGAGCAATATTTCTCTGTCTGTGCAATAGGGTTGGTCCTTTTGCATGTGGGAAGTTCATATGGAAATGCAAATGTTGAAAGAAAGATTGCTAGTGTGATAGGGCCTTTAGCTTTGTCTAATGTTAGGGGAAATTACCTGCAGGATAGTACAATGCTAACACTTTCTGTGCTCATGTACTTAAGCATAATTGTGGTTTTCAAAATAGGACTTTCCCTCTTAATTCTATTGGTAGTGTTCTATTCAACTGAATTTAAAACTGTGATCTGAACTATAAGGCAGTTAGCAGTCTAACATAATAATGGTGCATTATTAGTTAGTTAAATATATTTGCAGTTTGCAAAAGAAATGAAAAGGGAAATCAAAACAAACAAGACGTACTCAATAGCTACATCTGTATCTTTCCCAAATTATCCAGGATGCTTGATTTATTACATAGGAGTGTTAATTTATACAAGATGGCATGAGGGGTGTCAAGATTGTCTGGATACTGTGTATCTTTAACCATAAACTACGTACTTAACGGAATGGTGACGGGTGAAGAAGAAAAAAAAAAGCTCTACGCTCTGGCGAACCATGGCAGCACACTGACTTTGAGCGTGTGAGTTCGGTACATGAGGCCGAATCACTGGCTCGCTGCGCTTTGGCGTACAGCCACGCGCCACTATTCGAACGGTTTGTTTTCACACATAGCAGCGTCACCTGTCGTGAAGGGGTTAAGTAGTGCAGAAAGTCACATATTTTCCAATTTCAGAGATACAGCCTTCTAAACTGGCTGATATCTCTTATTTTTTCTGTACCTTTGCATACAGAGCCAGCAGGAGCAGGCATGCATAGTAGGCACTGACCATGACAGTGTTGCAATCTTGTAGTAATCATAAAAGTTATTGTTTAAAATACTTACATAGAACACAGGTAGAATGAGAAGTAGGCATATCTATTCAGTAAATAATGGTCATATACAAATCAGTTTGAAAGAGTACATATTCAGCGATGCTTTTTTTATGCACCCCAGATTCAAATTTGTATATATATATGAAGTACATAATTATATCATAAAGCGAGTTTTTTTTTTGTTTTTTTTTCATTTCATTCAACAGATGGAAGACATAGAGAGCACTAAGACTTCAGACGAGATCATCAATGAGCTGTTCAGTTCTCTGAACGTACCACTGTCACCCAAGCCTTGTGAAGAGGAGTGCAAGAACAAACAGCAGAGGGAGGAGAGTACAGAGCCTGAGGTCCCACCTGCGTCAGACAACAGTGAGGATGAGGACAGTGACTCGAGGTCTAGCGCAAGCGAGGAGGTCAAGCATGAGGAGGTCCAAGTGATCGAAGCTGGCAGTCAGGAGATGGAGAAGGCAGAGCGTCACAGGTCCTCCAAGAAGAAGAAGGACAAGAAGAAAAAGAAGAAAAAAAAGAAGAAGAAAGAAGAGGGTGGTAGCAAGCACAAGCACAAGAAGAAGAGGAAGAAGGATGCCGAGAAGGAGCACAATGGCCGAGAGGAAGCGAAGGGGGCGGAAGAAGGGCCGGAGGGTAAGCAGGCAGAGGAGGAGGAGGAGCAGCAGAAGGAGAAGGAGAAGGAGAAGGACAAGGACAAGGAGAAGACCCAGCCGCCAACCCCAGAGGACAAGAAGTCAGAGAAATTGCCGTCCCAGTCAGAAAGTCCCAAGAGGCCAGAGAAAGTCCCCAAGATGGCCGAGTCAGAAAATAAACTCAAGCGCAAGCTGGCGGTGGAGGCAGAGACCAGAGAGGAGTCTAGCAGGAAACATAGAAAAACAGATCACTCAAGGTCTTCCAGATCGTCCTCGCCTTCCAAGTCCCGTTCCCACACAAGGACCAGCCGTCGCTCACGCTCCAGGTCGGCCGGTAGAGGTCACAGCAGATACTCCAGGTCCAGGTCCAGGTCTAGGTCAAAGCCACACAGCTACTCACGGTCACACTCTAGAAGCCACAGGAAGTCGAGGAGCAGATCCCCATTTGCATCAGACAGGCGGAGGAGAAAACGTTCTTCGAGGTCGTACTCTAGGTCAGCTTCCCCCAAGCGCTATAAGAGACGGAGGTCATCTAGGTCACGCTCCAAGTCTCCCTCCGGTAGGTCTTCCTCGAGCCGTCGCTCAGGGAGCAGGTCCAAGTCTCGAGCCAAGGTACCATACCCCCGGGAGGTGTGTGACCTGCTGGACAAGGCCAGGGAAAGGGTGGGGCGAGTGGATGCCTCCAAGGCCCAGAGCACAGCCAGCATAGACGTGAGCAGCATCCCCACCCCTGGTCCCACCACCATCCTCCGGCCGCAGGGCACGCTCAGCGACATCATTGCCCTGGACAGCATTCCTCTACCCATTCCCCCTCCCGCTGCCCCAGACCCTAGCTCTATCCCTCTACCTCAGCCCCTTGGGCATTCCGATGAGGCACTCAAGAAGGATGCCCATCCCAAGGGCATAAATGGCATTGGACTGGACCTTGAGACCATCCCAGTTCCTGCACCTACCAATATGTCTCTGCAAAAGGACCAAGACAGTGCCAGGGCAGATGTGGCCAAGGGGAAGCAAGAAGAAGGTGAGTCAGCCTTGTGGCATCTCTCTCCTTTCTTTCATCTCTCTGCTTTCTCTCTCTTTCTTTCTTTCTTTCTTTTATCATTATTATTGGCTACTCTGTCATGACTTTTCCTCTACCCTTAGATGAAATGTAAAAAACATTAAACTTGATATTATGCAGGGCTCACCAGGAAAGAAAATTTTCAATTTTTTGAGAGATCAAAACTTGCCCCCCCTCCCCTTCTACACAATTTTAAGGTTAAGTTAATGATTTTCTGTAGACTACATGCTATGGAATATAACCTGATATATATCATTAACCATTATTAGTATGTACTTATGAATTCAATGTATCTCCTTAAGCTGCAAATAGGAATACCTTCATATGATTATCAGCATCAGTCACTTTCTGAAATCTACCCATGTCAGTACCAGTTCACCATTATAATGCTGTATTGAAGGACTAAAGGATTTTTTTTTTTTTACCCACATTTTATTAATCGGTCAATTGTTACACTTGATTACAGTACATTCACTCTATTCCAGACCCCCATTCATTAGTGTTTGAATTAATGTCCAGTGAAATGACACTGGGCTGAAAATTGCCATCCAGCACTTCTAATGGGGATTATCAGAGCAGTCTGCCCTTTGCTGCTTAAATTTTTGTTATACAAATATTCTTTCGTACAACTGTGAACGTGCCTTTGGAAGGATATGAAATATTCATACTAATAATTGATCATGATTTAACCCTGCCAGCCATATGGTCTCATGTTTATCCAGATAGAATGCATCATAGTTGGTTTGCTTTAGTTATAGTCTTCATCTTTTAGGAATGTTTTCCAGTGAGCTCAAGCCTGTGCTGGACTAGTTGCCAGCTTTTGTCACAAGCACCTGTTATTTGTATGGTATCCATTGAACCAGACATGTGCCTTTGTGAAAAATTCATTACTGATTCTGCATGAATACTACCAGACTTTGTGAGCAAAAATAAGACTTTGGTGAAAAGTGCAGTCCATTAACCAAAATATTTGTACAGTCCATTAACCATAAACATTTCTTCATTTAATCACTCAAATTCTTCTGATCTCCATTACAGGAGCTGAAAAGAACAAGGCCAAAACTATCATCATCAAAAGCTTGAAGGACAGCCTCGTCTTCCTCCAAGCGCAAGAGGAAGCAGAGAGGAAGGCAAAGGAAAATGCTGAACTCGAAGAGGAGGGGAAAACAGTGGGGCACAGTGCAGAAGATGAGGATGAGGAGAAGGAGGAGGAAGATAAGGAGGAGGAGGAGGAGGAGGAAGAGGAAGAGAAGCAAGAGAAAGAGGAACAGGAGAGGAAAGACGGGGAAGAGTTGAGGGAAAGAGAGGAAGAAGGAGAAAAAGAGGACGAGGAGGAGGAGATAAAAGAGATGGAAATAAAAAGAAGTGAGGGGAAGACCAACGACCCATCCAGCGGTTCAGATACGAAGAGTGAACCAGCTTGTGCCATTGACATAGGAAAGGTCCTGAAGGAGACAAGAGAAAAGATAGAGAAGAATGGAAAAGCTGATAAGGATGGTGCTAAAGTCAAGACAGAGGAGAAGGAAGAAACCTTAAATGGTAAGTTTGATTAATTTATGGGGATATATATTTTCTTCTATACAGCAGAATACTTACTTTCTTTCCTAGCCTTGTTTGTTTCCTGCTTAATAGCCATTTGTTTTATTAATAGCATAGAGAAGTGCACAGAATATCCTGAGCTATGTAAAAAGGACTCCACATTCACAATAAAAGCATTGTGTTGGTCAATTTTAGGAATGTTAGGAACAAGAATAAATCAGCTAGGTAAGAAGTTGATATTTCAAGAATTCTTTTATCAGCAGTGTAAGGATGATTTGGCATTTGAAACATGAATTGCAATTTTTTTTTTTTTTTTTCTCTTTTATCATTTCTTTTTCTTCTTCTTTCTTTCTTTCTTTCTTTCTTTCTTAATAACATCATGCTGCCAAGTCTTTTTGGATGCATAAAGAAACTGTTTTTCAGGTAGTTTCAGAAATAGTTTGCAACGGCTAGTTAGCATCAGTTCCAATTCAGTTCTGGACTTGTCTCACTTCAATACAGAAATTATTTCATGTAATTTTTGTATTTTTTAGAGGTATTCCTCATTACAAGAAAGAGAAATTAAAGGATATTCATGGCTTGAGATATAGTCTCTAAAGTTTCCAAGCTCCCTACTTTGGGATTGCATGTTAGCAAAAGATTCTGGAGTATTGTTAATGTATGTGTTCACAGCAGTACTAATTGTCATTATTATTTTCCATTGCCTTCTCATTCATCTGTGTTTCCTCCTCCTCCTCCTCCTCCTCCTCCTCCTCCCGCTACTTCCTCCTTCTCCCATCTCCTCCTCCTCCTCCTCCTCCTCCTCTTCCTCCTCCTCCTCATCTTTCTTCCCCCTCTACCTCTTACCTCCTTTTCCTTCACTTCTCTCTTCCTCCCACCACCCCACTCTTCTTTGTCCTCCTCCTCCTTTTCCTTCTCCTTCTTTTTCTCCCCATCCTCATCTTTTTCTTACACCTCTCCCTCCGATCCCAAGGCATGGAAGAAGGAGAGATCGCCAGTGAGGAGGAAGAGCCGCAAGAGAAATCGCAAAGCAAGCCCCACAAGAAGAAGTCGAAAAAAGACAAGGACAAACACAGAGACAAACGGAAGTCTAAGAAGGAAAAGGACAGGAACAAGGAGGACAAGAAGAAAAAGAGAAGGGAGCGAGAACGGAGCAGGTCCCGGACCCGCGAGCGAGCCAAGTCGCGGAGTAGGTCACGGAGTCACGACAGAGGGAGGTCACAGACCAGGTCGAGGACCCACGAGAGGGGCAGATCGAGGAGCAGGTCACGGTCAAGGGAGAGGCACAAGTCAAGAAGACATTCAAGGTAAGGGAATCTTCAAGGGTCTGAGATGAGGCACTCGGGGTAGAGGAGTCTTAAGGGAACGAGGGAAAGAAATTTTAGTAAGGGTCTAAAAAGAAACAAGAAGTCTTTAGGGTACGAGGTAAAGAAAATTTATTTAGGGTCTAAAAAGAAGCAAGAAGGTACGTGATGAAGTAATTTCATTTAGGGTCTAAAAAGAAACAAGAAGTCTTTAGGGAACGAGGGAAAGAAAATTTATTTAGGGTCTAAAAAGAAGCAAGAAGGTACGTGATGAAGTCATTTTATTTAGGGTCTAAAAAGAAACAAGAAGTGTTTGGCGAACAAGGTAAAGAAAATTTATTTAGGGTCTAAAAAGAAACAAGAAATCTTTGAGGTACGAGGTGAAGTAACTCTATTTAGGGTCTAAAAAGAAACAAGAAGTCTTTGGGATACATGATGAAGTAATTTTATTTAGGGTCTAGATAGAAACAAGAAGTCTTTGGGGTACAAGGTGAAGGAATTTTATTTAGGGTCTAAAGATAAACACTTAGGATTAAAGGATCTTTGAGGTATATTAAGAGGCATTCAGAGTAAAGTAGATATTCAGGTTAAATTAATTTCTTGGGTTCTAAAAAGAGGCACTTGGAATAAATCTCCTGAGGGGTCTAAAAAGAGACATTCAGGGTAAAGGAAACGTCTTTGGGGTCTGAAAAGAGGCGTTCAGAGTATTGAGATCTTCTGAAGGTACGAAAAGAGGTATTCAGGAATCTCTTATGAGGTTAATTAATGTTCTTTGGGGTCAAAAAAAAAAAAAAAAAAAAAAAAAGGAAAAAGAAATATAAAATAGCAATATAATTGTAATTGAAATAATTAAAAGGCAAAATACGTATTTAACAATGAACCGAGTATAATTGTACATTTCAGTCGTTCAAGAGATAGATCGTCCAGAGTGCGACACAAGAGGTAAGGGCTTGTGCTCTCTCTCTCTCTCTCTCTCTCTCTCTCTCTCTCTCTCTCTCTCTCTCTCTCTCTCTCTCTCTCTCTCTCTCTCTCTCTCTCTCTCTCTCACTATATATGTATATATATATATATATATATATATATATATATATATATATATATATATATATTATATATATATATATATATATATATATATATATATAATGTATATATAAGTGTATATATTAATGTGTTTTCACTAAACTACATCAATATTGAAAGAGTTATAAAGGTACAGCATTTCAAGTGTTTAAATATAAATGATTTATATTTTAATTTTATTATGAAAACTTTCTGGTCTTGATTGTTAACTGACATATTTTACATTCGCTTGCAGTCGTTCTAGGTCTCGCTCACGTTCCAAATCCCACAGTCATAGAAAACGGGATAGTGTCAACGATTTGAGAGATAAGGTAAGTTTTCTTGCTAATACCTGTCTTTGTCTGTCTGTATGTTCTCTCTCTCTCTCTCTCTCTCTCTCTCTCTCTCTCTCTCTCTCTCTCTCTCTCTCTCTCTCTCTCTCTCTCTCTCTCTCTCTCTCTCTCTCTCATTCTTTCTTTCTTTGTCTTTTTCTTTCACTCTCTTTCTCTCTTTCTGTGTGTGTGTGTGTGTGTGTGTGTGTGTGTGTGTGTGTGTGTGTGTGTGTGTGCATGCATGTGCAAATATGTCAGTGTACACATTTGTATGCATACATGTATCTTCATCAGATTTCACGTACATTTCCTACCTTGACTGCAGGTGACCCGTAAGAGGCTGTTGGAAATAGCCCGCCGCAACGCTGTGTACCTCATGCAGAACGGCTGCCTCCCCCCCAGTGTGGAGCAGGAGCAGCTGGTCAAGATCAAGGCGGGCGGGAAGAGTGTCGAGGAGCTCACCAGTGAGTGTCACTGACGGTCTCGTCATTTCTGCGTTATGACTGGCCTTGTATGCTTTTCTTGAATGGATGGGTTTTTGTACTATAATGCCGTCTCTTATTGATTTGTTTTGTTGTTCTTTCCTTCTTTTGTTTTTTATTTGTTTATATATTAATTGTTTTTTTTTTGTTTTTTTTTTTTTGTTTTAGTTTTAGTTTTAGTTTTCTTGCCAGTAGGAAAACTAGTCCATCCCTTTTGCTAATTAATGATCAAACAACTTACATAGACCATACTGATTACTCTACCAAATCATTCCTTAGGAGAATGTGATTAACCTCCTTTCTGCCTTAGATTTCTGCAAGCAGCTGGTGGCAACGGGGAACTATAGTGACGTTGACCTGAGTGAACCTTCCCTAAGCTCGGGGGACGACAATGAGAACTCAGACAAGCCCTTCAGCAACACCAGACACCCCTTCAGTGTGAGGGACTCCAAACCTATCCTCATGAATATTAGGGTGAGTTAGTGCACCTTTTCTTTATTTTCCTGGTCTTTTTCCCCTTCTCTCTGTTAGTTTTCTCTGTCTCTGTCTCTCTCTGTCTCTCTCTCTCTCTGTCTCTCTCTCTCTCTGTCTCTCACTGTCTCTGTCTCTCTCTGTCTCTCTCTCTCTCTGTCTCTCTCTCTCTCTGTCTCTCTCTCTCTCTCTCTCTCTCTCTCTCTCTCTCTCTCTCTCTCTCTCTCTCTCTCTCTCTCTCTCACTTTCTCTCTCTTTCAACAGTGCTAATAGTACAAAGGATGAAACAAAGGAAAAGTAAGGGAGAAAATAAACTAAAGAGAATATTCAAGGAAGAGAACAGCTATTTTCCAAAGCACATTCCTATTCAACCCATGTCACTCTTTTCCTAGAATGCCCCCATGCTGCCCACCAAGACCAACGCTGAGCGACTGGCTGACCAAGCCAAGTTGCGCGAACAGTTCCCGGTGTCGAGTGGCTCCCAACATCGCACCAAGGGTGAGTGAGAACCGAGGCTGCTGTTTTTGTTTGTACTGTTCTGTCTTAGGATTTTGTTGTTGTTTTTGTTACTATTATAGTTGTTATTGTTACTATTTTAGATTATCATTACTATTGGTGTTGCCTTTATTATGCATTTAATTTTGTATTGATCACTTGTTATTGCTTATGAAATTTAAAAAGTTATCTATAAGATTTTCTTGATGTTTGATAGAGAGAGATAGAGTGAGTGAGTGATTGTGTGAATGAGTGAGTGAGTGAGTGGACTACCCTGTAATGATTGCCTTGAACCTGCTGTAACCTACTGTTTTTTCTCCCTTCTGCAGGGGAGCTGACAGCCACCGAGGGGAAGCTTCTCACAGGTATATAGCTGAGAACACTACTTTCGTACCTGACCTCTTAGGTGTAATACAAGCGTGATGCCAAAGATGT